TTCTCTTTGTACTTTTTCTGCTATCTTCAAACTTTTGGAGTAGAAAGATAAAACATTTACAGACCTAAACGTTAAATATAAAATTAGTTTGCTGCCAACCTCAAAAGTGTTGTACAAAGTAACTAGTAATATTATTGGCTACATTTGAATATGGGTTGGTCATTATATTAATATTTTACTCTTTCCATCATTGTCACAAGGCTTAGTTTCACATTTTTAGTTATGCATTATATTCCAACAAATACATGATATATTATTTTGTCATACATTTTTAGAGAATGTACTTTTTTCCACAACTTCCAGTGACTTTTCAGGATTATTGTCTAACAATTTTATTACTTCCTGAATAAAACATTTGAAGTGTTGGAATTGTTCTATAAACTACTAAATTACCAAATGTTTAAGCAACATTGTCTGTAGATGCAATCTCTAGTTATGTTGGCTAAGAGGCCATCTATAAAGTGATTTTTTAAATCACTTATTGTCCAAAACTTGAATTCATATCATTTTATTTTATTTTATTATTTTATTTTTTGAGACAGAGTTACACTCTGTCACCCAGGCTGGAGTGCAATAGCGTAATCTCAGCTCACTGCAACCTCCACCTCCTGGGTTCAGGTGATTCTCCTGCTTCAGTCTCCTTAGTAGCTGGGACTACAGGTGTGTGCCACCATGCCCAGCTAATTTTTGTATTGTTTAGTAGAGATGAGGTTTCACCATGTTGACTAGGCTAGTCTTGAACTCCTGACCTGAAGTGATCCACCTGACTTGGCCTTCCCTAAATGCTGGGACTACAGGCATAAGCCACCATGCCCAACCTGCTTTCATGTAATTTTACAGCTAAGGTAGTTAAAAAAAAGAAAAAAAAAAAAGGAGGAGAGGATGTAATAGACATCTATGTTGTGTTTACTCAATGTATTATTCCATTCTCATGCTGCTATGAAGAACTACCTGAAACTGGCTAATTTATGAAGAAAAGAAGCTTAACTGAGTCACAGTTCTGCAGGCTTAACAGGGAGCATGACTGAGAGGCCTCAGGAAACTTACAGTCACGGCAGAGGGTGTAGGGGAAACAAGCACATCTTCCCATGGCAGAGCAGGAGAGAGAGAAAGAAGGGGGAAGTGCCACACAGTTTTAAGTCATCAAATCTTGTGAGAACTCGCTCACTATCACAAGAACAGCAAGGGGGAAATCCACCAATACGATCCAGTCACCCTCACCAGTTCCCTCCCCTGCTACATAAGGATTAAAATGTGACATGAGATTGAGTGGGGACACAGAGACACACCATAAATCTCAATATCATGTCCTTAGGGAATACCAATTGGGAAATAGCCACACCCTTTCCTTTGAGGGAACTGCTGCTTCTTCACTACAACTTTATATTTTGGATTCATCCTTTTTCAGAAAACCCGGACTGGCCTGGCATTGCCCATCATCGTGCTTCTGTTCTTCCAGCTGTCTAAAAGCATCCTGCTTTCAGCTCCGTCTCTTCACGTCACGGTATTTTGTATTAAGTTCCTCACTGTACTTCCACTTAACTTTTCTCCTTTCTGGTTCTCTACTTCACACATTATAATTTAAAATAGACAAAGAGACTTATCCTTGCTCACTTCTATCTAGCTAGGCTGAAAAAGTGACCTGGAAATTGTTAGGTTTTTATACAATATTATTGAATGGATGAATCAGTACAAGAATAGAAATGTGATAAAGACACAGTCAAATTCTTTCACCTAGAGTTTTACAAGCTCAGTTCACAGGGAAATCCCCTATCTCAGTTCCTGGAGTTAGGACAACATAGTCTCAGAGACACCAGTTTCCATGCCTCTAAGGAAAAATCCGAATGAATGAAGGTGACCCACTTTAAGAAGCAGAGATGAGATGGAAAAAGATGGTAAGAGTCTTTGCCAGGGAAAGCCCTGGTTTATACTCAGTGAGGCTCCCAGAAGAGCCCTAGTTCCTCCAAGATTTCCTTCAAATCTGAGTTACCTTGACACCCTTCCAATAAATGACGTTTCAGTAAAACCTACAGCTGAAAATCTAATTTCCATGCCCAACAATACAGGGTAGAAGAGGAAAACAGTTTGACCCATTGAGCAGCTCTAGACAGAAATACAAACTACTCTAATAAAACATAATATTTTTCACTTTAGTAGCACTTTAAATAAAATATAAGATTTTGCACTTAGGTAGCACTTTCCACTTACCAGCACTTTCACATAGAGCAGATCACCTGAGATTTGTAATACCTTTGTGAGGATTTCCAGATATTTATAGCCCTATTTTCCAGGAAAAAAAAGTAGTGATGTTTAGACAATATGTATTAATATTTTAATTATAATAAGCTATAGGGTTTATTGAATGCTTGTAATATGTCAAAACTTGTACTGAGCACACTACGTCAATTATCTCCTTAATTAATATACATTTTATCAACATCCTTCTTTAAAATTCAAGCAAGTTGTGGCATAGAAGAGCACTCGTTTTGCATTGCTGGGACGTTACCTTTGCTGAAACAGCCTTCTGCAGGCATTTAGACCTCAGTCAGGCTGTTTCGTAATATAACTAGCATTTTATTTTTTACTTTTTATTTTTTTTAAATACAAGGTCTTACCCTGTTGCCCAGGCTAGAATCAAGTGGCCTGATCAAAGCTCACTGTCTCCTTGAACTGCTGGGCTCAAGTGATTCTTCCACCTCAGTATCCTAAGTAGCTAGGTCTACAGGTACATGCTACCGTGCCCAGCTAATTTGTACATTTCTGGTAGAGGTGAAGTCTTGGTACGTTTTCCAGGATGATCCTGAACTTCTGGCCCCAAGCGATCTTCCCTCCTTGACCTCCAAGTGTTGGGATTACAGGAATGAACCACAGTGCCCAGCCTGACCAGCATTTTCTATTCTTGGTACTTCTTATACCTTTGGTGGTTTCCATCCACATTCCTCTGTGGAAAAATGTTCCCCATTTTATAATGTCCACTTAAAATTTGAATTTCTCTCTTTATGCGTATTCTCATCTTTCAGTGGAAATTAAATTCGTTAATACATTTATTTCTGATCTGATGTCCCAACAAATCTTGATCTTGTTGTGAGAGAATCGTTCTCTGCTCAAATTACTTGTAAAATGTTGGGTTAGAAAAACTTTAATATACATTTCTTCTGACAAACCTTCCAGAGCCTTTTATATAACAATGTGTATGTCTCTGAGAAGAGACTATGCTTTCCATTGCCTTAAATTATTTAACTTTTTCCTGTCACCTCTTAACATCTCCAAGGATCCCTTATGGCAGGATACTATTAGGGAGAAATAGCATTATTTGGCACTGTAAAGTTTAATTATGTTGCTACAATCCACAAATCTGTATTTCTTCCTTTACTTGATTGTTTATTCTTGAGGGCAAAAAGTGTAAATGTGCTTACTTTTAAGAGCTTGGGAAAGTTTTATAGAACATGGTAGTTACGTTTTTTGTTCTTTTTTGTTTTTTAGAGGGGACAGGGTCTCACTTTGTCGCCCAGGCTGGAGTGCAGTGGTATGGTCTTGGCTCACTGCAAGCTCTGCCTCCTGGGCTCAGGTGATCCTTCCACTGTAGTTGTTTTTTAAATGTTACTTAAGCTTAATGTAATTTTTTCCCATACACTTATGGTTTTGCAGAAGATAAAAAGACTATTTTTATTAGTCAATATCTTATGTTAAATACTTTTTATATACATGTCACATATCGTAACAGTCTTATATTGTACCACAGAGATATTAAACATTGCACTAAGCCTACCATTTTTACTTAAAATGTTAAATAATCAGTAGGGTAGCTGGCTTCTTTTTTAGAATTGTTTAAATGTGGGAGATATTCTTTGTTTTCTGGAATGTCGATTAATGTGGGATGATGGGTAGCTTCTTAAAGTATCTTCATTTCTTGATATCCTTACAAATATTTTATGGTTTATTCATTAAGAACATTTTCTCATTTACACAATAATATTCTTGTTTGAATATTTAAAAAGACTGAACTAGAGAATTTTTCTAAATCCATAAGTAACATAGAGGGAGATATAAGGTGTATAAGCAGATAAACTGAACGTAAAAAGATCTCAGAATTGTTTTTGTTTACCAGATCTCTAGTTTGCAACTTTTTCTCTCTTCTAAATCATGGTTCTAACAGGAGATATTTTTGTTGTTTTTTTTTTTACATTTGTCAATGTTTAGAAACTTTCTTCTATTTCTTTAAACTGGGGAAGATGTGTATCCAGCAGTACTGGTACATATATCTAGTGCATAGAGGCCAGGGATACTTTGTTCAAAATAGTATTCCCTATTGTGTATGACCCTTCTATTGGCTGTCTTCCTTCTCCATGTCACCACTTCATGGCTTTGTTGTGCTTCCGGAATCACTTCTCGTATAAGCAAATTATGCCCATATTCTCCTCCTGGAGTTTCCTTTTGGAAAATTCAAACTAAGACATCTGTTTAATATTTGTAAACATCTTAAATGCACAGGACAGCCCCCCTGTTTCCGACCAAAGGACTTTTTTAGTTGAAAATGTCAGTACTGCCTGGGATAATAAATCAGGCTGTAAAAAATTATGGCTTATCAATTATCATAAATATATGCATATACTAAAATAAATATTTTGCGTAATTTTTCCAATTTTCATTTTTGTTATTCTTGTTGTTCAGAAATGCTTTGAAAAGTGATGTTCAACTTAATTTCAAGGTGACACATACATGGGATATTAGAGAAACTCAGTAATAGCAGCCATGGGAAATTTACCAAGAAGTTTTTTAAGCCCAAGTTTGAGGAGCTCTCATACAGATCTCTTTTGAGACACTGAGAAAGACTGTAGCAGTGTGTTCATATGGTATTATTATTATTATTTTTATTTTACTATTGCAACAATAAGATTCTTGGCAGCAGTCAGTGGGGCCTGTTATCACACCTCTCCTGACTTCTCCTTTGTCATACTGACCTTCATGTTGGTGAGTATGAAATGACCATATTTGCCATCTTTTAAAATTTGTGATTTGTTGTGATTTATTTAATTAAATATTCAATCTGACATCTAGTGGAGAAGCTGTCACACTTTTCTAGTATCCTTCTCCACCCTAAACTTACACTGGAGCTCAACTGGGGCTTTGCTGAATGGTTCTTGGACATGTCTATGGCTTCTACCTTAGCGTTTCCCTTCCTTAGGGTTTTCTCTTGCTGCGTGAATATACACCTCCCATGAACATATGCAAAGACAGAGAAGGCTGGAAATGCTGGGAAACTGTGACCCCCAGGAACAAGCCTCAGTGGTATACACTCCAGCATTTGTCTCTTGACTTGGCATCCTGAGGTGTGGTCTAAAATGCCTTTCAGAGGGCCCCACAGCAAGAGTGAGCCCCAGTTGCTCAGAGTGGTACTCCCTATTGTTTGTGACCCTTCTGTTGGCTGTCTTCCTTCTCCATGTCACCACTTCATGATTTTGTTGTGCTTCTGGAATCACTTCTCATATGAGCGAATCGTGCTCATATTCTCCTCCTGGAATTTGCTTTTGGAAAACTCAAACGAAGACATCTGTTTAATATTTGCAAATTTGGATTTTTTTCACTAGAAGAGCCCTTACATTGTCTAACTTCTCAGTCCCATACAACCTGTAATTTTCGTTCAACGTGGACACTTATTTTGGAAAAAAAAAAACCCTTAGCTAGTCCTGAAATCTCCTACCCACTCCAGGACAACAAGGTAAATGGTGGAATCACTGTTATACACTGATCTAATTTTCCTGAAAAAAAAAAATAATGCTGGCTTTTAAAAATATAAAGAGACAATATGTCTAGAGAAAAACGTTTCGTTTTACATTAAGAAGAATACTTTAAAACTCTACCCCCATCTTTTCTCAGTAACAGAGCTTAAGCATTGAGGAAGTGAACTTTAATGTCATTTGGCCTGATTCATTCAAACACTATGCCGGGAAACCTTCCGTTAAATGAGAGAAGTTAGGTCAAGGAACCAAACAAAAGCAGTGAGTAAACATCAATTTGGTTTACATGCCCATAAAAAAGAGCAAGACTGCTGTAAAGGAAAGGAAGCCAGAATTGGATGGGGATGTCTTCAATGGCTCAAAGGACTGGTAATGGGATGTGTGAGGCCTTTCTTTTCTGGGTCAGCAGTCTGAATCCAGGCCGGGTGAGTAGAACCCAAAGAAGTCATTATTATTTCACAGCTGATTTACACACTCTTTGGAATGAGCCTGGTCTCCCTCCAGGTTTGGAAGACTCGTGTCTGCAGCCAAGCCCTCCCCGTCATCCAGAGCAGTGATTGCCCCTGTTCTTCGCTGCCTTGACAGAAAGGCCAGGGATTAAATGAACATTGAAACCGGACTGCACTCACTGTGGCCAGCTAAGGAGCCTCAGTGCACTGGCCATACAGGATTGATAGCAAAGTAGCGTTTTCTCTTTTCTGTTCTTGCACTGTATAGATTTAAGGGGAATTTCAGAATATCAGATGTCAGTTTGCTATTTGTCCAGGTCATTTAAAACATTTTGAAAAGAAAAGGATTTCAAAGGAGCTTATCAAAAGTTGCGTTTGGCATGGAGTTCCGCGTGACATGCTTCAACGTAAGAGTAAAATGCCGTGGCCAAGTTATAACTCCTGGATGCGTAAGTTCATCATCGCAGCACTCACAAAGCCCACACTGGAACAGTTTTCTTTCAGGCACTTAGATGAAAGGTGAGCAATGTTTGATTTCCTTCTGCTTTCATGATAAGTAATAGAGTGGTCATTTTCTCACAGTAAATTAAGAAGTAACAAATGGATTTCAATTTTCATAATTTCACTCAGGGTATCTTTTGAAGTGTGTATTATTAGTTTGTACTAATGCAAAACTACCAGCTGAAACTAATCTCCCTAATGAGGTTCATTCGTCCTTTGACAAGGCAATAGTTTCCTCAAGAAAAACTTAACTAATAGTGTGGCCAGTACCTTATAATTAATTTTCTTCCCCAATCCTCGCAAGCATGAAAACAAACAGTAAATTTTTCATTTGTTCATCAGTTTCGAACAACTGTTTAGCAGAGATATGCTTGATTAATGGATTTAATTTGTTCCTTTCTTCTGTAGTCGGTTTTCATATTACCTTGGTTATCAGAGGATAGGACCATAATGTGGGCATTCTCATCGCGGTCCACTCCATCAGTGTCAGCGCTGGCTTCTAGCTCCGGGTCCGCATCTTTAACCTTTGTCGTCCTGCAGAATCTTTCATCAATCTGTGTTACAGTCACCTTGGGAAGAAAAGGCAGAAGCACTCAGTCAGCACTTACAGGTAGTAAAGTGTGTCATTATTTCTAACAAAATGCTGGCAGCGGTGCACCTTTCATTTCCAACTGAAATATGATTTGTGAGATCAGCAACCCAACTGTTAAAAGAGACAAATGGAAGGTACCGGTCTGGTCACTACAAGGCCCTCTATAAAAACCAATACAAAATGCCTAATGCTTTCCTGCATGCTGAGCGCTTTAAATGACTGGGGCTAGTTTTGCAAATTGAATATTATTGTCAGATAATGAAAGTACCTATGTAGAGGTCAAATAGCATCATAAAGTATAATGGCAGTTTTCATAATACTGACCGTTTCATAGTAGGGCACAAATCTCCATGGTTCAAATCTGTAGTTCACTTGACTTTTCAGTGTGACATAAAAAGTCATAAACTCTGGCTTGAGGGGTTTTCATTCTTCTTTTTAACCTAAGTGTAATGTAGACTTTGTAGAAAAATGTAAATGCTTAAGAAATTTTAAAAGATGCCTTTCTTTAGAACGTTTTTGACTCTCACATAAAATGTAAAACTAAAACATATATTTAGATATTTTTATGCATAAAATGTATAATATTTGTGACAGGAGTTACCTTCTTAGTATAGAAAGATAATGACCTAGAGTACAATGTTTACAGAAAACGTGTTCTAAATACACACTGTTTGTTTAAAGAAAATTTCAGTAATTTAGTTTGGATACTGAGTTCCATGACCTACCTTTCTATATAATTGAGAATCTGTTAAAAATAGTTAAAATGGATTTTATTATTTGTCATAACATACTTGTCAGTATTATTCAATATTTCTATTATAGTATTATGTGCAAAAACTTGAAATTAATACTTCATTGAATATCTCTGGAACAATACATATAAAAATGATTTTTTGACATTTATTCCAGGCAATATTTTTTTAACCTTCTTTGGAAGATAAAAATACAAGCCAAAATAATATGCCTGATATTTAAGAAAACTTTTCCAATTTATATGTAACTGGGCTAGACTTGAACTGATGTACTGGCAAGATTTAGGTTCTACTACCAACTTTGTCATTTACTGTTTTTGAGTTATTGGACTAGTTCTTCATTTTTGTGACAATAATACCATATTCATAAACCTCTTATTTATGCAAATGTGAGGCTCTGTTACATTACTTCAAAATGGACCAACAATTTTAGTGCCTACCCCCTGTGGACTAATTTTATCAGTATTCCTTATTTTGGCATGCAACGTTCTCAGCAATCTAACCATTCAGCCACCTATCCCACACGTACATTTCATATGTACAATATACTTACGAAACCCTCCAGTCATCCTGAACTTCTTACTAGTCTCTCTACTCCTTGTGTATGATTATGCCTCTGTCCCTGTGGTGTACCCTCTTCCTGGCTAGTGCGTACTCACCCTCCCTCCCTACATCTCTGTTCAATAAACTTATACCTATCTTTATTGTTCAGATAATTTCCCCTTACATCCTGAAGTCTTTACAAGTTATCCTTGTTAGTTTTAATTTCTTCCTTCTTTGTGGCCTCATAGTACACTGTTTTTCATTCTTCTAATATACAAACCACAGTAGAATTAGAAAAATAGTTGGGGCATGTATGTCTGTCTCTACATGAATTATGTCAGGAGTACCTATTTTCCTTTTTCTTTTTCTTTTCTTCTTTTTTTTTTTTTGAGACAGTCTCCCTCTGTCAATCAGGTTGAAGTACAGTGGCTCCATCTCCGCTCACTGCAGCCTTGACCTCCTGGGCTCAAGGGATCCTTCCATCTCTCAGCCTCCCGAGTAGCTGGGACTACAAGCACATGCCACCACACCTGGCTAATTTTTTGTGTTTTTTGCAGAGGTAGGTGGGGTTTCACCTTATTGCCCCAGCTGGTCTCGACTCCTGGGCTCAAGCAATCCACCCGCCTTGGCCTGCCAAAGTGCTGGGAATACATGTGTGGGCCACCTTGCCCAGCCTAGACTACATGTTTTTCTAATCTCATTTTTGTCTTTGCCCTGTCCCATAGGCAGAACAAAAATGCTTGGACCAAAGTAGAGCTCACTAAAAATACATTGAGTGCATAGATGAATAACTTGATCATAAATTGTAAATAATGTTTATTGCTTTCAAATTACAAAAACATTTTGCCAGGTATTAACATGAAAACTACTGTGAAAGGTATTCCACATAAAACATGAGGCAGCTCACCTCAGAATTTAGTTCACAATGTCTTACCCATTATATGCAATTTAATATGTTTAATTTTTGGAACTAAGATAAATCCTTCCTTAAGACATCTACATTTAAATATAAACATTCTTCCAAAATGATAGTTTATTTAAGGTATAAAAGCTTGCTCTTATTTTATATTTTCACAGACAATATTTAAAGAAGTATTCATGAAGCAAAATATTACATAGCTTCATAAATTTGCACACAGCCTTGAATTTCTTAAATTATTTTAATCTATAAACGTTCTTATTCTTATCCCTCAGGTGAATGCTGCCCGGATCCATCAATACATATTTTGAAAATTGTAAAATTTGTTCATGCTGCTCAAATATAAGAGAGAAAGAGAAAGGAAAATAATCAACAAAGCAATTTTGATATTAGTTTTAACTTCAACTGCTGCTGCAGTTAGGAACTTTGATAATGGATAAGAAAAAGAACTTTAGGGAAAGTTATTAGTTATTGGAGAAAGTTTTTAATAAAAACTATTTGATTTAAATCACAGGTCTAGGAAGTTCCTCCCACTGTGGGTCTGCGCACATATAACAGGAGACATCTCAGGTCTTTGTTACAATCTCAAGGATTGTTCTTTATCCCTGAGCAGTTAATGGAAACAAAAGAGGTTACAAAAATAAAGTCTAAATATGCTTGGCTCAAGAAAACCTGAGGCTACCCTTTGAAATTTCCTGCCTCTCTGTTATATCTGCATAGGCATCAACAGTGTTCTGACCAGGCTTCTGTTCTCCATTCGTCCGAGGATTGTCTCATGCGGCTTCAGTCACCCGTATTTACTTCGTCCAAGAGTTACTGCTGACCACCTGTCAGGATTTCACCCTTTTCTATAGTCCCCTTCCAATTTACAGAAAAGATAACTACTTTTATTATTATCATTATTTAACGTTGTGTTTACTCGGTCTTAACGAAAACTATAAGAACAGTACAATGTGCAGTTTATATTAGAATCTGCTAGGCCAACTTGAGTTTAGATCAATCCACACTGCACTACGTTCCTGGTGTCTTCTGACACTGACACTCACTGTTCATCCTTCTTGGACAAGTCCTCTCAACAAAAGCAGACACAGATCTACCAAAGCAATGAAGACTGTGAGAGCACAATGTAGGATAAAATGAAACTGAATGAAAGGATACTCCAAGGCAAAATAAAGAAAAAGGAAATTTGCTTCCAATATAGACAATCACTTGTGTTAAAATATAACATACTTGATTCATTCAAGCCACAATTTCTTAAATGTAATTGATTTATAAGTATGATTTAGACTGTCTATAGTAACAAGATCTGGCAAATAGTAACTTTTCATATTAGGGACTAAACATAATTTTTCTTAATTTTTATTTTATTCTCGACAGACATAATTGTCGTAATTATTTAGTAAAAGTTGAGTTTATAAAATGTTAAAACCATTGTTCTCATACAAATATAAAATATGCATATGTCAGCTTTGAACTCTGATTACTGAGGGAACCAGAAAGAGTCTAAAATTAGTAAAATAAAGATTTGAATCACAGAGATTTATATCCTCTACCACAGGGGGTCCCTAACCCCTGGGCTGTGGACTGCACAACAGGAGGTGAAAAGTGTGGGTGAGTGAGTGAAGCTTCATCTGAATTTACAGCCGCTCCCCATCACTCATATTACCACCTGAGCTCTGCCTCCTGTCAGATCAGCAGTGGCATCAGATTCTCATAGGAGCACAAACCCTGTTGTGAACTGCACACGGGAGGGAGCTAGGTTGCACACAGCTTATGAAAATCTAATGCCTGATGATTTGTCTCTGTTTCCCATCACCCCCAGATGGCACCTTCTGGTTATAGGAAAACAAGCTCAGAGTTCCCACTACTTCTCATTACGGTGAGTTGTATCATTATTTCATTATATATTACAGTGTAATAATAATAGAAATAAAGTCCACAATAAATGTAACATGCTTGAATTATCCTGAAACCGTCACCCCTGTCCCCTGTCTCTGGAAACATTGCCTTCTACAAAACTGGTGACTGGTGCCAAAAACATTGGGGACTGCTGCTCTACCAGTTGAAATTTACATCAGCATTGAATTAGAACGATTTCATTGCTCTGACCATGAAGAATGTGCGTAACTCTCAGTTTTCTGCAAGTTAACTTCTATTAATAGCTTAGTCAAGGACATTAAAAGGTATACACCCCAATAGCATCGGATGATCCCCAGAGTCTCTTAGGCAACAACTGGCATGCCACTGAAAGAAAACCCAGAAATCTCTTTTACCCATGTCCAAGATTTTCTGTTTTTCCTATTTTTATATTAAAAAAATTTCCTCAATTGTTTTTGCATATTAAATTAATCACAGTGTTGTATTCACATTTCTATACAAATTTTTAGATTATCTCATATTCTTTTTCTTTCTCCAAGCACATTTATCCTTATAGCTTCCTTTTCTTGTTAGTCCATGCCAGAGTATTGCAATATCTTAGACATGCACATATTCCTGCAAGAAAATGTGAAGAATTAAAAAAAAAAAGAAAATCACTCAATCTCAGAAATTTACCGTTTATTGAGCCTTTCATGACCAAGAACAAATTTGAAAAGAATGACATTGTTTCATTCTCAAACTCTAGGCAGAGAGAGAGGCATAGTTGCAAAGACAGAGATGAAGGCATGGTGTAGGAGAACAAAAATAATTTAGACCTCTGAATTCTCAAAGGATTTGTGCCCTCACTTTGGGAATCAGTTATATTATAGGTAGTTATCAAAGTCTTAAATGAAGACATATTAATGTGCAGTTTACACTACGGAATCTGAACATTTGTTTGATGTCTAGGTTTTAATGGATGAGAGTAAGAAATTTTTTTTTAAATCTAATTTTTCATATCTTAGAGACTATCCATGATTAATGCAATAGTAATTTGAATATTAAGCCTGGTATAAGAAAGGCAACACGTTTTAGGAGAAAAGAAAGTTTGTTTTGTAGTGTGATTACTTGACTATAAATTCAGGTATGTCCTTGAGGCCATATTAGCATGTGAATGTGTTTGCCATATTACTGGTTGTCTGGAAACTGATGAAACAACAAAATCAGAGTAATAGTAGGGCTTTGTAAAATAGCTTTGGAGATACAGCTAGGCTCATTTGCTAAGATATATAAATCTGGGACAGAACAGGAAATTTGTATGAGATAAACCATGGGTTGTTAGGCTTTCAGTTGTCACCTAAAACTAGTGTGGATGCTACTGACAATAGAGTGTACTTAAATCCTGCCTATATGTAAAATGGAATGGATTTAATGAGCTACAGAGAAGTCCAGTTCCTTTTCTGACTTCATTAAAAGTGTATAATTTGTAAGCTTTAGCAAATAGCAGAAATAAAGCATACGTCTAATTGTAAGTAAATTACGAAGGAATATTAGGAGGCCCTTACTGCAGATTCTGACCCCCTCGTGTAAACTGAGTATTAGTATCTAGCTGTCTTATTTATTGGATATACCAATTGCTGTATGTATTTAAAATTTTGATCTATCATATTTCACAATCCAGTAACTGAAAGGGAGTAATGAGTGATAAGAAGTAAAAAGAAGAAAGGATGGTATAATAGACAGTCCAGAGATACTCTCCAAATTTTCTTATACATTATGGTCATTCAAAATGCTATTTATGTAAAATTTTCGTTATCTTAGGGTATGTGTAGATTTAGGAGATGTAGTACTTATTAGCACCATAATTAATAATCAATGGATATTTTCATATGATATAAAACATCCACATCTTCTTTAAAATTATGACAAATTTACCAGATATCTGAGTGACACTAGGGTATCTTCTGTTTAATTCCAGGATCTCTTTTGAAAACATTGATCATAATAAATAGGTATGTTATGTGAACATATATCACTGAAATTTTTATTGCTGTGTTACAATGTTGAACATAAGACATAACCCTCAAAGATATAAGACAAAAACTTCGTGATCTTGTAAATAGAGAGTTTGCTACTATCTATTCTAAAAGGAGTGATTAAACAGTAAACAAAGGGTTAAACAAATGACACTGGCTTTGAGGATAAAGTATAATTCACAAATTAGTAAAGCTCATAAATGAACTTAACAATTAATCTTGAGAACATAAAAAATGTCCCTGTTATTTCTGGGGAACAGGGGGAGTAACAGGCATTACCTCTAAATTGCTCTGTCAAAAAGATTAGTTGAAAAAATTTTGTTAATGCCAAAATTAATGAGAATTATTATTTGGCCCCAAAATTAACTATCATAAATCTTGAGAAAGGCTTTTAGTTTTAATTTCTGTATTTTTATTTTATGGAGACAATCTCTCAATTACATTATTGTTGTTAATAAAGTAGCATAAATACACAGTAGCATAAAATGTGTTTGATCGATGCTAATTTTGAATGCTTATGAAGAAAACACGAGACAGTCACTAGAAAAATTGTGAAGAGCAAATAAATTGAATTAAAATAGATTGATTTATTCCTGACTCTGACTTCACAAATTCAAATGTTGCTGCTGCAAAGAAACTTTTTGTAGATTACTTAAGGTAATAAAGTAAATAGTTACGTTTTGGAGATGACAAATAAGAAGAGGGTCTTTCTGCTAAAGAACAACAGCAACAATAATAGATTCAAAATGCTTTGCATTGAAAACAAATGAGAAATAAAGATGATATGATTTAAAGAAATGTGTTTTATACCCCACAACCTGTCCCAATCATCATAAAGATATTGATTTAAATAAAATTGTTCATATGAGAAAAACGGCTTTATGAAATATTAGTGGAAAACTATAATTTGAAATCGATACATCAGAGAACATTACCCAAAATTTGTAAATAACACAAGAAAGGTAGTACATTCTTCAATGTTATATGAATTGAAAAGCCACAAAAAATTGTCTAAGGAATGTATTTAAACTCACTATTTAATATTAATTAAGGGCTCTAGAAATAGTGAAGTTACTTGTGAACTTGTAGACATTTGTATGGTAGAATTGCAAAATAATTTCCGTGCACTGTAACAAATAAACCAGAGAATGATGACATTTTTGGATATCCACCAGTTTTTATCTAATATGGCAATCTTATCCTAACTTTGACCGTAAATATCCTAGCTTCTGGGATGATCTTTGAACTGGTTGTAACATTTTACTACTTCTTTGACACATGTTTATTTGTATTTTCATCAGTCATAATTTTCTTTTAAAAATTTTGTTAATTATAATTTTATATATCAAATATATAACCAAATTAATAACTTAAACATCATAAGAAATATTAGCACCTCTCAAGTTTACCTACATAGGTTGACAAAAAATATTTGGATATTTTAACTGGAAAATTTAAGAAATCACCTACTATTGAGCAACCTGAAATATTAGTGGAAAACTAATATAGGAAATTTTACTTTTAAAAAAATAGAATAACTGATTAGCAACAGTGCTTTAGAAATAAAATTTTAAAAAATTGTCTAAACTGCTTTTTATTTTATTAGAATTACATGAATTTTCACATAATGACTTTCATGGATGCCCTTGGGGGGAAACTAATAAATATAAAAAGTACCTTAAAAGTTGGCAAAATAATAAGCTCAATATGAAATATTCGATGTGTGCAGAGTGTGGAAAGAATATTGTCCCTAGATTGAGGCCTACCATAAATACCAACACAACCTCGGGAAAGCAATTGGAAGCTCTTAAAATAAATCTATAAAGTGAGGAGAATTGATTAAATTTACCTTGGAGGAAATTTCTAGCAATTGAATTGTTTTCCAGTTTATGATTTAACTATTTTATTTTCCACCTAAGATATCTAAGGATAGCTCAACGGAAGACAAAATTTTATCATTATATTGAACACTAACACTAAACAACTACACTATCACTAAAATCTGGGAGAAACTTTCACTAACAAGGCCAAAATGTACTCAAATAAATGCACCATGCTGACCCTCCAGATACACCATAATTAAGTTTGCTGGGCCTCTCCTGTAAATTTGAGGTATTTCCTGAGATTGTAAATTCGAATACCTGCCAGAAGCCGCAGACAACAGAAACATACAAATCAGACTTTATTCTCATTCATAGAGAAAGTTGGGCTTACATAGCAAGTGAGTACATGGCTTGTCTAAAGTAACTCAAAATGTAAACACAAGCAAAAACAAAAACAAAAAATTAGCTTACAGGACTATGCAAACCCGATCAAACATATCTGTGAAGGGAAGAAAGTCCTGGTCTACGCCACCAAGAAATGTGCCAGTTATAACTGCTGAGAACCACCATCTATGACCCACTGCTTGTTCTTCCACCTTTTTACACAACCGTAACATTTTTCCCCATCACTTTTAGGTAGTAGTTCCCAGAAATATTATACAGATCTGGGGCAGAAATGGACAGGTCTTGGAAGTTTACACAGGACATGCGGATTGAGTAGTACAGAGAATATATGTGGGGAAAATTGTGGGAAGCTCTTCCCTGGGTATTCTTGCTTATTATTCATATTCAATCTCCTTCCATCTCTCTTTAGTAGGATAAATTCAGAGTGTTTAAGATGACCAGAAAGTGGAAACGACACATTCCTTAATCATCCAGCCACACAATGTTGAATGATTGCTGCTATTTTGAAATTGGGTGATGAGTTATACATGTCTACAAGTCTTCCAGGGTAATCACTTAAGGAGTACCTTCTGACATCAAAATACACACAGGGGAGAAACAAGGAATCCCTCCTTGTTTATAGATAAAAATATGACTAGAACTGGTATTTCTGGTTGAAGTATTAGTATATTGAAAATAAATAAAAGTGAGAACTCTTACAAGATTATTTATTAGAAAAGGAGAAAATAATGATTCAAGTTGGAGGAGAATAATCTCTTGAAAGGACTGGCTACAAGAAAAATTTGGAAAGCATTTACTTTGTGTTGTCAGATAGTATTAAGGCTTGGATTCACATAAGGGAGACAATAGAAGAGATGGAAGACAATTGAATTGGGGAAAGTTGGTAAAAAGAGATGCAAATAAAAATGAAGATAGATGAAATAAGGAAGAATAAGAAAACGATAAATGAAGAGCATAATTATTATTTACCCTAGAAAAATTAAAACATAGAAATGTCATTAAAAGTCAAAAATGGAGAAAAATAAGAAGTAAAAGTGATTAAAAAATGATAGAGATGTAGGAAAACGAACAGATGCAAAGTTCAAAATATTAGTTTTCCTGAAGAAGAAAGTTGAACAAACTCAATAATCAAATATATAATAAAAAGGCAGTTTTTAATTTTTTTATTATTGTTGTGAAAAAATGACAAATTATGAAAATAGAAGGGGATTCTCAATACAACATAGAATTAAGTGATTCACATATAAAAACTATCTAGTGAAAATATGAATTTTGAGCATAAATAAAATATAAATCTGTTAGAATCAATATGTTAAAAAAGAAGGAAATAAGATAAAAAGTGATGAGGCTGGTTTCAGACCTAAACACATTAGAAGCCAAAAAACAGCAGAAATGTCAGAGGTTTGAGTAGTATAACAATGTATTCCCAAGTATTCTATTCATCTGATCCTTTGCTTATGCTGATAAAAGGCAAGCCTAGGTATCCAAAAACATACTCTACATCAGTCAGAGTCTCAGCAGGATGACATGTTTAGAAAGCCACACCCCTTAACTCCAAAGGTTGCCCACTTGATGTAAGGATTTAGTTTTCCTTGGGAAATATTTATTTAGAATTATGAAAAGGATATATAGTTATTTAGAAAGGGTGTAACTTATTTACCAGACTAGAACTTATAAGAGTGCACTTCAAATAGCACAGAATATTCTGGGATGAAAAGGGTCTCGGTTCCTCAAGTATGGTGTATTTTAGATCCTCTTACAACACACTTTAAAAAATTTCTCCTATCATCTGGCAGATAACAGCAGAAATTCCCATCCTTTTTCAAACACAAAAACTAAATAGAAAGTAAAATCTAAAACAATGACAAGAAAATACATTATTTCATAACTTGTCATATATGCATGATAGGGTTATTAATTGAGACTTTTATGAGAAACAAAAATCTCCCTTCTCCCTTCTCTTGCACACTGCACCTTTTAATGTACAAATACATGACTACTAAATGGAAAAAATTCCATGATGAGATCATATTGATAAAAGTAATAAATGAAGATCTCCGGGCAATAAATCAAACACAGTTTAAATGCCAAAAGATTTTGAAGGAAATCAACATCATCAGGATACATGGCCGCATAATCAGAAACATGCCACAAAGAAAGTGTCAATTTCCTGGTCTCAAACAAGCATGACTATGAGATACACTCTTGTGGATAATAGGTCTGAGATATTAAGAACATTTGATGCTATATGGATGCTCCACTGCTACCATCCAGGTCCAAGCTGGCATAAGTTATGCTGACAAAACACAGCACAGAAAGAGATCTGGGTGTTGCACCAGAGAACACCTCAGCTGGCCCAGCTATGCTTCATCCATCTCCAGGGATGTGGTATACATTAAAATTACAGAGTACAGTGGAGTACACTGCACACAGGCATGAAGTCAGTCGGTATTTATCACTTTCAGGTTCTACTGGCTAACAAGGAATCCAAATATTTTCCTAACTTAGAATAAGGCACTAGACAAAAAGATCTGTTATCCAGACATTTTGGAATCATCATACTAAAAGGTCCTCGGAGCAGCTACAAGTCCTGTTCTGCAACTCCCTTGGGTTCAGCTAGAAATAATAATTCAAAAAAAGACCAGAAACTTATAATTGATTGATTACTAAGGCATAGGAAATCCTACTCTATTAGTTAAAAATTATAATTTTGAAGACTATTT